TTTGTTGTTGCTCGGTGCTACGCATGATACAGAGTTTTTAATCACCTTTCAGTGAACCTTAAAAGTGGGGATTCCAATTTTTTTTTAATGTTTATATTCCGATGTTACATGTAAGATAACTTGAATTATTAAGGGCCTATATAATAAATCACCAGCCATAAGCATATGGATTTCTCTCTCTCTCTCTCTCTCTCTCTCTCTATCTTAAAAAAAAATAGAAAATAGAAAATGCGTATTAGAAGTTGCACATATGATTCGTCAACTTGTACCTATACTTGGAGTAAATTGCACTGTAGGGACTAGTCTTTTCTCACTTTCCTGGTGAATCAGGACATGGAAATGTTATTTTATATTAGATTTTCTACCAGCTTTCTCAGTATTTTGTTAATGGTAGTGCATGTCAACTGGTACAAAAACAGAAGAGGAGCAAAAAGTGGGAGGGAAAAGGGGGAAGGGGGAGGGGGCGTAGCCTGATTTATATAAAAAAAAATGTAGAGATTTGATAGCCAAAATAATTTGTTAAGTTGTACAAAAATTTAAGATAGTCCAAACATTTCAGATTTTATTTGCATTTGGGTGATTGTGGTGAGTTTGGCAAATCGATTATTGCAGTAAGGAGGGTTTTCTCNTGAAGTTTTATTGTATCGCTATGGTCGTATCCTATTGCGTCCATTTCATATATCCCGTATCTGCATACGTGCTTCGTAGTTTTTTGGACAAATTATGTACTTTGACATCAACATTGGGCGAAGTTTCAATATTGGCAAGTGACAGATGTCTGATCATGAGGTGCTGTGAATCAATAACCAGGATGGTGCTAATGTCCACCGGGTGAGGTGGGATTGCCATTATTTTTCCTCCAAAAAATATTACATATGTAATCGAAGGCAACATCCTAAAGTTTTGAGGGTTGGGAATAGTTTATAGTTTTCAATCACATCAAGTTGTTGGTTCTTACCCCAATTCTTCATTGATATGACAGTTGCTATGATTTTATAATTTTTGTAAGTCTGGCTCTTTGTTGTTGAACAGCCTGTGATCTTGTTATTAGATGGAAATTCTAGAAATTAATTTTTAGTGTTAGAAAAAGAATGTCAACACATGTTTCAAAGTTGGCTTAGGATGATTAGTGTTCCAGAATTGAAAAGCTTGGATTGGACATGTCAATTAGGCAAACCATGAGTAATTCATCTAAGTATCTTTTAGGTGGTGTTTATGAAGCTAATTTCACTGTGAAAGCGTGATTGCTAGGCAATGGTAAGTTTTTCTTTTGCTTCTCTTCTATAAATGTTGCGTGTTTCTTTGAACTCTGCAGACATTGGTTCAATATGAGTTGCCTGTGATAGTTATAGTCTTTAACAATAGTTGTGTATATGGTGGTTGACTGGAGGTGCCCTGAAAAAATTGCAGGACCTTACAAAGATGATCCAGTGGCAACGTCTTTGTCCCTAGTGCAGGATATCATCTTCGAATTGAAGCTTGTGGGGGAAGAGGTTATCTTGTTAGGACACCTGTTGAACATAAATCTGCACTTTCTGCATCTTTTTTTTGCATGAAGCCTGCTGTCATAAACGTTACAATCGATCCAGTTGTTGGTACAAAAAGTGGGAGGTTGCAGCACAAAAACTAAGGTAAGCTGCAGCACAGCGGTTCATGGTTTGTTAACGCTTGAGTTCGTTAAATGTTTTCTGTTTGTCAAAGTGGTCAGTTAAAATTTATAAAGCCAATATGGTTGTTGCTAGCTTGTAGGTTTATGGTCATTTACTCCAGCTATACATTGGGATTAGAGAATTTCAATTCATGATACTTGACCTAGTTGATGTACAATATCAACTGACTCCATCTACCGAGTGCAGGCTTAAGCTGATTTTGTCACGATGGAAATGCATATTAGATCGTCATATTGATCTACTGTGTGTGCTTGATAGTGTTCATTATATACTGTTTTCGCTTTTTCTATAGCACCTGTAAACAGTGTATTTGTTTTGTTAGCAGTTAGATTGGTGGGTGGAAATTGGAATTGCATTATGCTCTCAAGACTTTTGGAGGCTGAACAAAAAAAAGTTCAAGTTCTTTGCGCTAATGGTTGGATGGTACAGAGTTCTTTGTTGTTGCTCGGTGCTACGCATGATATAGAGTTTTTAATCACCTTTCAGTGAACCTTAAAAGTGGGGATTCCAATTTTTTTGCGCTAATGGTTGGATGGTACAGAGTTGTTTGTTGTTGCTCGGTGCTACGCATGATACAGAGTTTTTAATCACCTTTCAGTGAACCTTAAAAGTGGGGATTCCAATTTTTTTTTAATGTTTATATTCCGATGTTACATGTAAGATAACTTGAATTATTAAGGGCCTATATAATAAATCACCAGCCATAAGCATATGGATTTCTCTCTCTCTCTCTCTCTCTCTCTCTCTATCTTAAAAAAAAATAGAAAATAGAAAATGCGTATTAGAAGTTGCACATATGATTCGTCAACTTGTACCTATACTTGGAGTAAATTGCACTGTAGGGACTAGTCTTTCCTCACTTTCCTGGTGAATCAGGACATGGAAATGTTATTTTATATTAGATTTTCTACCAGCTTTCTCAGTATTTTGTTAATGGTAGTGCATGTCAACTGGTACAAAAACAGAAGAGGAGCAAAAAGTGGGAGGGAAAAGGGGGAAGGGGGAGGGGGCGTAGCCTGATTTATATAAAAAAAAATGTAGAGATTTGATAGCCAAAATAATTTGTTAAGTTGTACAAAAATTTAAGATAGTCCAAACATTTCAGATTTTATTTGCATTTGGGTGATTGTGGTGAGTTTGGCAAATCGATTATTGCAGTAAGGAGGTTTTCTCCTCATGGTCAAATGCGTTATTATTGGTTTTGTTATTGCGATTTCGAGGATACAATTGTATTGTTATAATCTGAAACTTAAATGAGTTTGACCAAGTAAAATTATCTTTTTTTCGACTACAAATGTTTGTTTAGTAGCCAAATGAAACTACCCTGGTCTGCATTTCATGGGGATTGAAGTCTTTTAGGACATCAATGAATGTGTATAATCATCATTGGCTCATGTGGCANGCCACGATGGAAATGCATATTCATATTGATCTACTGTGTGTGCTTGATAGTGTTCATTATATACTGTTTTTGCTTTTTCTATAGCACCTGTAAACAGTGTATTTGTTTTGTTAGCAGTTAGATTGGTGGGTGGAAATTGGAATTGCATTATGCTCTCAAGACTTTTGGAGGCTGAACAAAAAAAAGTTCAAGTTCTTTGCGCTAATGGTTGGATGGTACAGAGTCCTTTGTTGTTGCTCGGTGCTACGCATGATATAGAGTTTTTAATCACCTTTCAGTGAACCTTAAAAGTGGGGATTCCAATTTTTTTGCGCTAATGGTTGGATGGTACAGAGTTGTTTGTTGTTGCTCGGTGCTACGCATGATACAGAGTTTTTAATCACCTTTCAGTGAACCTTAAAAGTGGGGATTCCAATTTTTTTTTAATGTTTATATTCCGATGTTACATGTAAGATAACTTGAATTATTAAGGGCCTATATAATAAATCACCAGCCATAAGCATATGGATTTCTCTCTCTCTCTCTCTCTNCTCATAAGGTGAAAGATATAAGGGAGAGATTAGATACCATTGCAGATGAGAGGGATAAGTTCCACTTGAAAGAGGGTGTTACAGATTCACAAGTTTATGACATGGAGAGAAGGCAAACTGGCTTCCTTGTGAATGAATCAGAAATTTATGGTAGAAATGAGGAGAAAGAAATGATAATTGATGTGCTGATTAACAATTTGAGCAATCAAGATGATGTCTCCGTCTATGCTATATGGGGTATGGGGGGACTTGGAAAGACCACTCTTTCTCAATTGCTCTACAATGATAAGAGGGTAGAGAGACACTTTGAGTTGAGGATTTGGGTGTGTGTATCTGATGATTTCAGCATACTACGGCTGATGAGGGCAATCATTGGGTGGATAGAAAGACGTGCGTGCGATATCACAGAGTTGGCTCCACTAGAGCGACGCCTCCAAGAAAATTTGAGTGGGAAGAGATTTTTACTTGTGCTGGATGATGTGTGGAACGAATACCATGATAAGTGGAATGGACTCAAAAATGCACTCAGGTGTGGAGCGAAAGGTAGTATGCTTGTGGTAACCACTCGAAGTGAGAAAGTTGCTCTTATGATGGCTACGCTTCCAATATTTAACCTGAGATGTTTGTCGGAGGCTGATTCTCGGATTTTATTCAAGCACCATGCATTCGGGATTGGAAGGAGGGAGGAGAACTTAGAGTTGGAAAAAATCGGCAAGGCAATAGTGAAGAAATGTGGTGGGGTGCCCTTGGCAATAAAGGCCCTTGGAAGCNGTTAAACCAAATAATTGCCTGCTTCACGCATAGAAATCCTTTAGTATTTCGCTTAAGAATGGCTCATAAGGTGAAAGATATAAGGGAGAGATTAGATACCATTGCAGATGAGAGGGATAAGTTCCACTTGAAAGAGGGTGTTACAGATTCACAAGTTTATGACATGGAGAGAAGGCAAACTGGCTTCCTTGTGAATGAATCAGAAATTTATGGTAGAAATGAGGAGAAAGAAATGATAATTGATGTGCTGATTAACAATTTGAGCAATCAAGATGATGTCTCCGTCTATGCTATATGGGGTATGGGGGGACTTGGAAAGACCACTCTTTCTCAATTGCTCTACAATGATAAGAGGGTAGAGAGACACTTTGAGTTGAGGATTTGGGTGTGTGTATCTGATGATTTCAGCATACTACGGCTGATGAGGGCAATCATTGGGTGGATAGAATGTCGTGCGTGCGATATCACAGAGTTGGCTCCACTAGAGCGACGCCTCCAAGAAAAATTGAGTGGGAAGAGATTTTTACTTGTGCTGGATGATGTGTGGAACGAATACCATGATAAGTGGAATGGACTCAAAAATGCACTCAGGTGTGGAGCGAAAGGTAGTATGCTTGTGGTAACCACTCGAAATGAGAAAGTTGCTCTTATGATGGCTACGCTTCCAATATTTAAGCAGAGATGTTTGTCGGAGGCTGATTCTTGGAGTTTATTCAAGCACCGTGCATTCGGGATTGGAAGGAGGGAGGAGAACTTAGAGTTGGAAAAAATCGGCAAGGCAATAGTGAAGAAATGTGGTGGGTTGCCCTTGGCAATAAAGGCCCTTGGAAGCCTGTTGTGGTTTAAAAACAGCAAAAATGAATGGTTATCTGTGAAAGAAAGCGCAAATTGGGATTTAGCCGATGGTGACAATGATATCTCACCTGTCCTAAGGCTAAGTTATAACAATATATCTCCATCTTCGAGGCAATGTTTTGCTTATTGCTCAATATTTCCCAAAGACTATGAAATGGAGGTGGACATGCTGATAGAGCTTTGGATTGCAAACGACTTCATTCCATCTAAAGGTGAAACAAATCCATATCTTATGGGCCGAGGGATCTTTAATAATTTGGTCTGCAGGTCTTTCTTTCAAGATGTCAAGGAGGATTACAAGGGTGACTTGACATGTAAAATGCACGATCTGATGCATGATCTTGCAATGTCTATTATGATACAAGAATGCTACATAATAGAGCCTCAAAAGGAGCTGAAAATTCCAGAAAAAGTTCGCCATTTATCTTTTTATGGGAACTTAGATTGGGTGGTTCCTCGATACGAAGATGTGCGAAAAGTGCAATCTTTACGCTCCATTTCACTTCTATCAAGGTTCAAGAACGCTAAGGAAATTGCTACCTACATCTCAAAACAAAGTAATCTGAGAGTGTTGGAGTTGAATGGGTGTATCTTTAACAAATTACCATCGTCAATTTGGAATTTGAAACATCTTAGGTACCTGAACTTGTCGAGCTCTTGGATAAAAATTCCGAAATCAACGAGTTTTCTTCAAAACGTGCTGATGTCGAAGCCCGGAATTTATTGTGGGCTTCATAAGTTGCTCAGTTATGGGCATACAATGACAGAACATGGGTCAGGGTGGTATCAAACTGAAAAATTACCATCTTCAATTGGGCATTTGAAACATCTTAGGTACCTCAACATGTCGAGCACTGATATCAAATCCTTACCGGAATCAATGACTTGTCTGCAAAATCTACAGACATTGAAGCTGAAAGATTGCATGCTACTTCGTAAATTGCCCAAAGGTATGAAAAATTTGAGAAATCTTAGATGTCTTGACATTAGAGGATGTGTTTCTCTTGTTTGTATGCCTGCTGGACTCGGGCAGTTAAGACACCTACAGACTTTAACCAACTTTATTGTGGGTTCGGACCGTGGTCAACAAATAGGCGAGCTGAAAGAATTAAATCTTAGTGGTGAGTTGACCATCAAGGGACTCCATAATGTAAGAGATTCAGAGGACGCAAGAAGTGCCAACTTAAAGAGGAAGCAGGATCTTTGTGCTTTGATATTGGATTACGAGGATATCAAGACTGACAACTTACTAGATAATGATGAAGAAATTCTTGATGGTCTCCAACCTCATCCAAATCTAAAGAAGTTGAGCATATGGTCGTATCAAGGCTTGAAGTTTCCTAATTGGATGCTAGATTTGGATCTTCAAAATCTGATTGAAATCTCTCTAGTTGGATGTAAGAGATGTGAACATCTTCCACCTCTCGGGAAACTACCCTCCCTCAAGGTTCTTTTTATTGGTGCAATGGATGCTTTTAAGTGTTTCAACAATGACTACTATGGAGATGGGGAACAATCATTTCCAGCACTAGAACAGCTCTATTTGGAGGATATGCCTAGTTTGGAGGAATGGACAACAGTTGATAGAGGAGAAAGTTTTCCTCGTTTGCGGGAATTATACATCCGTCAATGTCCCAGGTTGACTGAATTTCCTTGTCTTCCATCACTTGGGAGATTAAGCATAGAAAACAGCAATGAGATGCTATTAAGGTCGGTGATGGATCTCACTTCACTTTCCTCGCTTGGAATATCTAGGTTTGATGGGTTGGAGTTTCTTCCAGATGGACAGCTTCAAAATCACAAGGTTCTTGAGTCCCTATCGATTAGTGAACTAGGCAATCTCAAGACTCTGTCACATCAGCTGGATAATCTTTCTGCTCTGAAAAAGTTAAACATTGATCGTTGTAATTCTCTCGAGTATTTACCAGATGGACTCAAAAACCTCAGATCCCTTGAGAGACTCGAGTTACGGGAATGTGACAGCCTTACATCCTTACCGGCGACAGGGTTACAAGGCTTGTCTTCCCTAAGATCATTGAGCATAACGAACTGTAAGGAACTAAGTTGTTTATCTGAAGGAGTAAAACACCTGACTGCTCTCCAGGATTTGGTCATAATTAGTTGTCCAGAGATGACGTCTCTACCGAATTGGCTAGGAAGCCTAATGTCGCTGTCGTCGTTACTGTTTTGGGATTGCCCCAACTTGATCTCCTTGCCAGATGGGCTGCAGTCACTCAAAAAACTGCAAATTATTGAATGTCCACATTTGGAGAGGCGAGAAAGAGAAAGGAGAAGACTGGCCAAAGATAGCTCATGTTCGTGAGATTTGGATCAATAATCGGAAAATACAGTCCTTGATCCCACATGACTAAAATGCATCTGACGGAACAATCTTCATACGATGGTTGTGGTAGCCAGCAGCAGCTTGTGGAGCAGGCAGATAAAAATAAACTTTAGAAGGTAAATTTCTGTGACTTCCTTGTTGATGTATTATTTATTTCTCCCTGCAATTGCTCCTGCTCTGCTTTGCTCTTGGGGTCAAGTTATATTATAGCGATCCTAAACTCCCCCAATGCATTGTAAAATATTTATTTATTTATTTATTATAATTTGACTTCCAAAAAATTATATTTCAAACAAAATAATAATAAATTTGAGTACTATACCTCCTTCCTTTGATACCTAAGCCAAACCCATTGTTTGTCTTGTATGTGGTATGACCGAACAGCCTACAAGGTCTTGTTTGTCGCCGGATGCGTGAATAGTTGTAGGGAAGCCGGACAAACCAAAAAAGTTTATTCTGGTTGAGGTTGCCAGATTCTGGTGAGAGAGTAAGGGTTTGTTTGATTTGCGTTTCAAAAAATGGTATTCAAAAATAGTTTTTGAAAAGAGTTTTAAGAAAGTGGTTTTGATATTTTTTAAGATAAAAAACTTGTTTGGTTAGATAATTTCAAAAATAAAAATCAATATATATATATATATATATTCACAAAAAAAAAATATATATATATATATATATATTAATAAAAAAATATAAAAAATTTATTTTTAAATTGATAATTTCATAAAAAAAAATCAAATATATATATATATA